ATTGGTGTTACTGCTGGTCGTCGGGTGCCCAGCTGGTTTCCCTGTGATTTCGATCATGCACAGATGGAGGCCTTAAAAACAGCTTGCACATGGCCATACATTTTTTAAAAAAGAAACTCACAGCCTAATATTCTCTGTGTAAAAATGAGAACATTCCTATGTGGGGAAAGCACCTTTGCCGCATAACAAAAGAAATTGCTATCCACCTTACCCGGATCATTACTTAAAATGTACCGAAAGATAATTTATTCGGATCAATGTTTTTGTAGGGATTTGTCGTATAATTCTTTAACCGTTCTTCCTGCCGGAGTGTTTGATTCCATGAGAAATCTTTACTGGCTGTAAGTCTGTAATTAAGTAGTAAGAATTAAATACTGTTACTGGTAAAAACTAATAGCAAACAGAATAAGTGCTTAGCAATACCTCAACCACAAGGAATCCTTTGGGTCAAACTTATGCCATCATTGCTGGCAACATGATCCTATCATCAGTGGACTTTATATAATTGCTGTAACTTCCACCAAATCAATCTTCCTCAGTGTGTAAAAAAATTCACTAAATTATGATACAATAATGATAATGATAATAATAATACGATTAAGATATCTATCCTTAATCATTCTCAGGGAAATGTCATCAAATGCTATTAAGGTTCTACCTCAAGGAATATTTGCTTCATTATCAGGTCTAAGTCAGCTGTAAGCATACGTATAATTCGTCTATAACGTCTCAAGTTAAACGGAAATTCATTGGGTCAGTTATTTAAACAAAGTCTAACTTAGACCACGGTTTAGGAAATGTTTGGACCTCCAGATCTGTTCCTTAGTGGGTTATTTTAAGAAGGCAAATGCTTTTCTAGCCTACTTTATATGCTTTATAATGAAACTTATCACGATGAATGGTGTTGAAATAAAAGCGTTCGCCAAACTGAAAATGGCTTAGAACGCGGTTTTGTCAAAGACTGGCTAAACTCTGTTTAAATAACTCTAAACTGGCCCAGTAAGTGTAATGGCGGCTTAGAATTTTAAATGGACTCTATCCTAAGTCATTTTTAATGTTGTCTCTTGAATTGTGGTACTAAATAAATACATAAGTAAACGGATAAATAAACAAATAAATGAATTGATAAATGAAAGAATAAATAAATCATTTTAAACAAGTTTTGCCTATATGGTGAATCCATACCGTGTTAAAGAAGAATTTTGTTTCTTTAATTATTTTGCAGGAATTTGACTTCCAACAATATTAAAAACCTAACAGCGGAAACATTTTCTACTCTTATTAATTTGCAAAATCTGTTAGTTTTTTAATGTTTGATGTGATAGTTATTTACTTAAGCTAATTAATAGTTTACTCTTTATTTTGTCTATATATTTACCACTACTGATTACTTTCTCAATTGCAAAATTGCTTACTTGAATAAATAGCATTTTTTACTCACAACAACATAAAGAAAACAAGACTAAAGAGTGCGTAATGATCGAATAATGAGTGGGTAGGCGGGATACCCTTGAAGAGCAATGCTTGTGTACCTTACTGAGCTGTAAGTTCTCCTCTTGATATTAATTTCAATGTAAAATATAACACGGTAGAATATTATGTGCTCGACAGAGAAAACAAACTTATGCATCGTTTTTTGAAATTAGTAAGGATAGCCGGAAGACGCTTAGCACTGAATAATGTGATCTGTAATTCGTTCCAGATCTGTAATAATACGCATACACTAAACAAATATATACACACTGTATGGATAAAGTAATTTATGCTCATTTAAATTGTCTTTAGTTTTGAAATATCAAACTGCTATCATTGAATAAATCATTGAATAAATGAGGCTGACAATCACATTAAAATAAATGTTTTATCAATATAATATACAACCTCTTCTCGGAATTGATCGATTTTCTATTTTAGGTATGTTGGCTCGAATAGGATTCAAAGCATAACAACAAATGTCATTTCACACCTCACACTTCTGTCTAGTTTGTAAGTCATGTCCAAATCGTTAACATACTCATCCCGGCAAACATGAATTTCTAAGTCTTTCTTTTCACAACCTTATGATTGAGGTACGTATTAAGGTCGAAGTGGTCAACAGATTCGACTGTAATAACAAAAGGAATAAACATTACTCACTTGAAAGTTGTCTAGGGCAATAATCAATGTTGTTTGTACTCCTTGGAACATAGTTGATTCTTTATTTTAGTTAGATGGATAACATCGGTTTCGTGGGTTTTCATGTTCGTATTTTTCTTTTCTTTGTACATGCAAATGCAAAGTTCAAGCTTTTTAGACATCTGCAATTTAAATTGCTTTTTTTTAATGTTCTTCCTTTTTAGAGACCTATCTTCAAACAACATTAAAAACCTTTCGGAGGATTTGTTTGCTTCCTTTGGACGTTTACAAACCCTGTAAGACTTCATGTTTTCATTTATTTAAGCCTGGATTGCCAGTAGAGCTCTGCAAGAAGCCTTTGAATATATGAGCTCACATAACTTCACAGGAGTTCAGGCTTCAGGAATAATCATCGTTTATTGCGACAGTGCTGTTTCGTATGGTCCGAAATTATAGGACCACACTGATGAGCACACATATGTACAAAAAATTCCAGTTTTTGAGAAAACATGGTACGGTATAGAGTTCTGCTGCCTATGCAGGATATTAAGGTCACGTGCTCGTCAATAGTTTGCAACATTCAGTTGTCAGTCACGGCGCCAGCAGATGAAGATGATGACGCTGCTGGGAATAACATCATCGGTCACGTGGTACTAATAGTACTGAAATATATACGAGGACACTGGAGTCGGGATAGCTTGCCATTGCATTTAATATCATAAGAAATTACTGAAGGCACATTTTTGCTTAATCTACCTTCATTTGCTAGATTTTTCACGCTGCAGTAAACTTTGTGAGCTATATATATCTATAAGATCACTTGTCCATTGCTATGACTTTTCTCCACAACATGGTCAACTTTCTTTTCTTTTAGGTGGTTATCTTCAAATAATATTCAGCGTCTTCCGTCTAAGTTATTTGCTTCTAACCGTAACCTTGTGAGGCTGTAAGTTTGTTTGATTTATTGGTTGAGTACCGAATTTACTACTCGTGTCTTTAATTGATTGATACGTACGTCACTTTTAACTGGGACACATTGTAAAGAGAATAGAAACCAGACAAGACGAAAACAGCTTTGGGAAAGATGCAAAGCCACGAGGAACGTTTGGACATAAGCGTGACAAAAGCTCTGAAACAACAACACACAAAAAGGGAAACTATTATAGGCGTCTGCAACTGATTTCAGCTGTAAAAAAACCGCTGGTTTTCTTCCGAACTCTCAAACTCGAGGTTTATGATAAATGAAGGTCTTTAATTGCTTAGTGAATGTCCAGCGGTGTTACCTTGTGTGTTCGTCGAGTTTTTCATCTAATGTACCATACTTCTGTTACGAAGGCTGATACTGAACAAAACATGATGATCCCGTGTAAATCATGATTGCTGGTCTTTAGCAGTCGGTTGAAGTGTCTCTATAAAAAGAACTTAAGAATCATGAAGGTAACTAATAATGACAACAGTCTGAGTGGGTTTCTAACGAAATCCACAAAGCAACTACGCAAGCAAGAATGCACCGGATTAATGAAGAAGAACAAAAATTATTAACTTCTGTTTTTTTTTATATATATATATATATATTTGTAGTGATATTTCGTACAACAACATTTCTCGCTTACCAAAGGACGTATTTTGCTGTTTGGGGAGTTTAAAATATCTGTAAGTATTATTTTGAATAATGTTCAAAATAGTTTTCTATACGTAAGGACTCACGCAGCATAGATATGAGCTTCCGGTTCCATTCATTTCAGCTCAACCTCCAAGGATTTTAAGTCTTTTTTGGTATCCTCGCTGTTGTTTCTACTATTTGTTTTTGTACCAGGCAGGTCTCTTTCATTTTTCTCCTCATTTCTATTCCATTCAATTATTTCACCTGTGTATCCATTTTTTCTTTAAGGTTACATAAAAAGTAAGCTTTATCACACTGCGAACTCGTAAAAATCACTTGAATGTTACATGCCTTGCAAAATTACTTTCAGAAACTCATTAATAATTTATAAACAGAAAAAAAGAAATTGATGTTTAATGAATGTCTTTATATCTTATATAGACACAGGTAAACTTTACGTCCAATTTCTTAGACCAAAATAATCCCAAATCTCAATATTAGTGCAGGAATGAGTTGATCTATATGAGATTTTGCCGAAGCCGTTCAAAAAACTCGTAGTCATGTATTATCAGGTGTAAAAACTCTCGGCTTCGCCTCCAGTTTATAAACCAGATAATACGCTCCTGCTCGTTTTTTAAACCCAGTACTTAAACTGATCATCAACGAACTAGCACAGCTTCAGTTTAAATCCAGTAGCGAATTGTCGGGCGCATATATCGAGTGAATCCTGTTCTGAGTGGACTCCACATTACAATGACATTAATTAAGTGAACAACCTGTGTTAGCCAAAAATGCCAAACACGGCTGAGAGGTCACAAGAAAAAAGGATGTCACTGTTTTAAATAAATATCGACTTTGTCTTTGTTGTAGATTTCTGCGGAACAACAGAATCGCCTCCATATCAGCAGACACGTTTGCTTCTCTCACCAGACTAAGATATCTGTAAGCCTGAAACTCATAACTTGAATCAGCGGTTTCTTATAAACAACTAAATACTGCTTTCCTATTATCCCTTAATTTGGTTAGCCTGCGATCAGACGGTCCTTCCTTCCTTCCTTTTTCTTTGGGAGGCAAGAACAAGAAAAGGAGGTCTCCCTTTGCCCATCGCTCCTTTCCGAAAACTGATACACCTGATCACAGGTGGGGTTTACACTGAGGTAGATTGCTCCTTATCAAAGATGGATGAAAAATTATTATAGGTGAGGGACGAGTTGGAGGCATTTTTAGCGTGTTGTGCAAGGACTGTAAAATCAATTTATTCTTTGAATAGCTTTATCCAAACATTGTCAGTAATTCTATATATAATATTTCAGTTTTCTTAGCGCCAATCTAATTCCAGTCATTCCACACCGAGCGTTTTACAATCTAAAAAGGCTGGAAATCATGTAAGTGTGGTTTATACAAGTGAAAGATTATAACTAAGGCAATACGAAAAGAGTAGTAATACACTGTAGTAAATTTTCGTTTTGAAATCTTGATTTTAAAGCTTTTTCTACGAAAGAAAAAAAACTTTAATTATTTTCTTAATACCACTCTGAGAGTGTGTACCTTAAGGCAACTTAGTAACTGAAACAGTTCTCTATAGAGTAACATTACGTGGTCTGAATGGTAAAATAAACTCATCAAATTAAGAGAAATACAAGTTATACCACGGATCAAGGACTCCGGGTAAGAGCCAGGTTAACTGTTGGGCTACAGAGAGGTTCCAAATTAGCAAGAAATTGACGCTTATGGCCTAAATCTTTTACGGGCGGTAGTTAGAGAATTGGACCAGCGTAAGATAATGGATTTAAATCATTGCTGAGCTCTTTGTTCCACGTTTCAGACAACGAATATAACATAATTTGTAACATTTTTATCTGGTAAATGTGTTTTAGAATGCTGACAGACAATCCCACATTAAAGATCGAAACAGGAGCATTTAAACTTGGAAGAGCTTCATCCCTGAACATGTGAGGATAAGCTAGTATAACTTGTTTGTAGAACGTGGCTCACTTTTGTTTCTCAGAGGAAAAAAATCGCTAGAAAATTAAAAGGCAGTCCTTGAACCACCTAGACTAATTACTTCATACTCTTACTGGAAATTAAACGAATTTCCCAGAGAATGTTATTCATTTAGACTGATATTGAATGAGGTTATTACATGGAAAGATAATGTAATGCTGTCTGCTTTTTCCTTCTTTTTGAAATTTAGTTAATGTCCATGCCGAATTTAAATCTATTCAGCCTAAAATGTCGCCCGTATTGCGTCATCAAGGTTCGATCTTTAAATCAATTATTTTAGGGACCTGCATCTTTTTCCAGCTGAGGTAACTCGACAATTTAGTCAAACAAAGATTAACATAAATCCACTGATTATTTTTCACTAACAAAAGTTAGACTGCATTAATCAATCAAAACTGTAAAACTTCGTGTGGGTTGATCAGGGGTGGTTTATTTACCCCCTGGAAGTTCGGATTTGATTCTGATCCTCGGCTGTTTGACCTGCAACCTTCATGTACTCGAGCTTCTCCACTTTGTATTCTAGTTCTTTGTGGAGAACTGATATTACATCATCTTTTCCAAATTAAATAAGCCCCCCGTCTCTATTAAGCCAATCCTCAGATGAGCTTGAAATAAATAACCCCCCCCCCGGGGGGGCTTAATGGAGGATTTACGGTAGTTATGAGTCTTAAAAGTAAAAGAAAATAAAACTTAGCTTAGTCTAAAGAACTTCAAGTTACATAGTCCAGGATTTTGTAGATGATTTTTCTATCCTATATTATCTCTACAGATATTTGCTGCGGATGAATTTGAAGACATTAAAAATTCAGTCCTTTGCAGGCTTCAGTGGTCTAGACTCACAATTGTGACGTATCACTTTGACTGAATTAATAAATTAATTAAAAATAATGTTTTCAAATAATGATAAATATAGAAAGTGTAGTCAGAAATGTGACGTCACGGCGACGCTATTGGTGTTCCAAAAAAATGGAACGGCGGCCGTGTTAGTCACGACACCTGTGGATGGTGGCCGTGTTAGTCATCACGACACCTGTGGATCCAGTGGAGTTGCACTTTTCTTTTGCTCCAACAAATTTGCGTAGATGCTGGTCACGTGAATGAAAATGCTCTGTTGCTTGGAGTTAAAAATTCTGGGGCTAGAAAAGGACGAGTATGGAATCAAAGCCCTAAAGAAGACCAGACTGGGTGTAGATTATTTAAGAAATAGATTCCATGTTGCCGTACGTCTGTTTTTACTACACAGACCCATGGTAACATGGAATCAATTTGTTTTGTACAATGATCAGGAAAGAAAAAAAGACCGATGCACATAAGAAACTTACGTGCCTTGTACCTCTTGACTGTTCGAGGATTTGTGCTAGTTTAGTCATTTTTTAAGTCCCAAACGCTACTTTTCGTCTCTGCTTCTGCTTCTCATTATCTTACTTTCATTCACTTTCTTTAAAAAGTTTTTCGGCGTCTTTTCTTGCTCAAAGCAGAATAATGGCAAAAATATCTTTTTGCAAACAGCGAGTCTCTCGTGGCGATAACAGACGATGGCAACTGTTGTGAAGATTACTTACAGTTTACACATTCTCAAGTTGTCAAGAACTCTTTTTGTCTCCGTTTCTCCATACTTTCTTGTTTCCAAATAGCCCCTGCTAAACTTTTTTCGAGGCTTTGACTTGCTTAATCCGAAAAAATCTGACCAACATTTTTAAAACCGCTCGCCATGTTGAACAAAACAACGAAAACAAGTTTCCCGTGACGTCATCCATGTATCTGTACTCTAATTGTTCCTGGGCAACGACCAATCACAGCGCGCGTAACATTGACACCATTGTATAAACTAAGATAGACAACTAAATAAGAGCTATAATTATAGCGGATCCCCATTACTAAGAACATTTGGTTATCTATCCCCCCGAGAAATTTTGGTTGTGACGTCAGCGTACGCCCACCCGAACGTACAGACTCTTGGGGAAGGCGAAGGAAGTTCGAAAACAGCTCGACTGGGAAGTGGATAATGCGATTTTTCGCAGGAAATCACGCTTTTAGACCATGGGTAGCCGGCGTTTTTCTTGGCTGGAAATTGTATGACCCGCTATGAAAAAGAGGTTTCTTTCTTTTACATATTTTTCATAACAAAGCGATTTGCAGTGCTAAATTTGAAGCTTAATCGCAAAATCATTGCTAGTTATGTCAACAAACGAGAGCAGATTAAATATAACGTGCAGAAGAGGGAGTTAAAGTGATGAGCAACGGAAAAGAGAGAGGCAGAGCACGTTTTCGGTGGTAAATCGCATGACCACCCGAACTTTTAATCAAAGCCGAGTCTGTCTTTCGACTAGATTTTAATGTCTTCTTTAACGTGGAAACGAGAGAAAGAGCCAGAGCAAGAAATAAAAAATAACGGAGACCAATTTCGTTGAAAGAAAAAAAAAGTGAACAGGAAGACATACAACATTTCCTCCATGAAACCTGTAACTACAGGGGCGGATCTACGGGGAGGGTGCAGGGGGTGCGCACCCCCCCCCCCCCGAGATGACCTGCGGTTTTCTAATACAACTGGTATTCTGCAAAAAAAAAAATATGTGGTTTATTGGTGTTGAAGTAGAGCAAGAGACGAGCACCCCCCCCTAAAAAAATCCTGGATCCGCCCCTGAACTAGGAAGTTTCTAGAAGGTTCACGTTGTAGTCATGCAAAAAAAAAAAAAAAAAAAAAACAGCAAAGAAATGTACAAAAAAACTGTGCTGCACGTGCAAAGTTGTTTTTTCTTTGTTGCTAATTGTTGTTTATTTTACCCTTCTCATTATCTTCACCCGTTTCTTTAGCAATACCCGATTTTATATTTTGTTTGAGTAAATTTACATTAAAGAGAGCTTCGCTTTTAGCCCTGGCTAAATCTATATATTAGCGATATAACTTCCATATCCGTATGGGTAAAGCCATTGGTTTCCCATCCTGAATACCTAAACGAGGACAAAATTGACAATTTACACTTTTTAACGAGACGACGATAATCCCTTTCACCTTTACAAGGGAGTCTCCCTAGGTTTTTAAGTTTTCTGAGGAACATCTGCTGAGACATTTTGGGTGGAAATCGTTGCCAACAACTTCTTGGTTCCGCTCGCGACCCTTGAACCTCCTTTATCGAACTTGTGCGATCCTTTAAGCAGCTAATTTATCCTTCTAGTTAGAACTGCAGAAAGTTACAGTCAATACAGTTAATGGTAACTGTTGAAAGGAAAGTATTCACATATTTTTCAGGGAGCTAAAGAATGGTACGCTTGGAACATTACACTATCGCACCATTAACAAGGAATGCACAATATATTTGTAAGTAGTGACGTTGGAGATGACTAAAAAGACTTCCAAAAGCTTCCACCATGGTGCGAACCCCTAAAAGAATTATTACTTGAACTTAATTCCGGCAAATTGATTTATTAATAGCCTCGTAGCCTAGCATATCTTGGTAACCGTGAGATTCAAGTTCAAGTTCAAGTTTATTAAGAAAAATTGAGAAAATACAAAATATGATGTACCACTGCTCGCAGTTAGCTATAGCTATTCGAGGCGAGCAGTGGCTTGACACTACATTATTAATTGATGAAAGATAAGCCTTTCAACTCAGGATTCCTGCGTTAGAAATACGACTATTGTAGTGTAAAGCCAGGATTTTACATGTTTTGAGGTCTCGTAATTCACAAGACACTGAAATTAATCAATGCAGTTTAACCATGCTGCCGAGTAACTGCAGTTTTTTTGCTTATCCCTAGCACATCCGGAGGCAGTAAGTCATATTTAGCCCTGAAATTATAAAATTCAAACAAAATCGCTATCGCTTGTCTTGTTTTCATTTTTGTCTGCAACTACCGAATGTTTTTTTTTAACTTTAGGAATCTGCTGAGCTCTGGCGCCCAGTCAGTGAGAGTCTATTTGCCAGAGTCGAGGCCAAGTATTGCCCTTTTGACTGCTCTCATGGCTTCCGGATTCCGACGGATTGATAATCGTACAGACTACTACACTTTTCAGCCATGTCCTGTTGGAACATTCTCTAACTCCACTTCAGGGGGAAGGCAAGGATGTACCTCTTGCCCGCCAGGTACCCTTCATTTGCTTATATACAATTGACCTATAGGTGCGGTACCTTACTGCACTAGCCGTAATACCGGTTGCCGATGGGGAAGCAACTTGTTTGAGTGTGCAAACGACTTACCCAAGCTAAAATTGCCTCGGGAAACGTCCATGGATCAGTAAAAAGGAACAAAAGAATTTGCCATGACAGTTCCCGAGGTTAAGTCTATGGGATAGTAAGAACCCAAAGAGTGTCAGGCAATCACGAGAAACTGAAATGTACAAAAAATACAAGACGCTTGTTTTCGTGCTGTGTTCATCTTGTCCCCAAATCATACGCGGAACTGGTTCGACAAAACAACAGGATTATCGAGCGCTGTTGGGAGTATTTTCACGTTTAACAAATTAAAAGAGCATTCGGAAGTTTTTGTTTTTACATCAGTGGTAAAGAATTCGTGCTTAAGAAATTGTTGGAGATAATTTTGTGGACGGTTACTTACATAACTGCCGGCTTACAGATTTGTTAGAAAAGTCTAACGCAACTGTTCAAAAGGAATCTGTCGACCGTTATTAGTTATCACTTTGCACACCTTGCACACGGTACTGTGAAATTCAAAATTCATCTAACGTGATATATCGTTCTATTGACATGTAACATGTTCTAATGCTACAAAAATGGTTGTAAATAAACTTTAACTCCTCTGGTCGGCTAACTGAGAGACGAGTAAGTGCATGTGGGAGTATACTATTGTACTGGTCCATTCATTGTCATAACCGTCGTTTGACGTCATATTGAATTTTAAGCTTAACAATCTATTTTCACCTTAATTAACAGGTGGTTTCTACTCAGACGAGGTAGGCTATGTTGCTGAGAACTGCAAGAAATGTCCTAACGGTTCTTTTGTTGCATTTGATAAAGCTCCCGGAACTCAAAGTCAGGATTGCAAGAAATGCCCACAAGGTACACTAACAATCAAACAAGGAAGATGCTTTTTGTTATTTCTCATTAAAAGTTTGCGTTTACTATCTTTCGCAGCCGTTTGACAATTACATACTGAATACCATTATTTTACAGTTGTAAGTCGTTAGCACTCTAGCCTTCGAATGAATTTAAGGCTGAGGTTGATCTTGTTTTGAGACAAACCGCCTTTGTTTTCCTATGGAATTTATGCTTGAAAATACTAGTTACCAAACGATCGATATAAGTGATTTACAAACGAGAGCAGGTAATGGTTGTATCAAAAACAGCGTCAACTCCGCCCTTGTTTCCATTTATAGCTTTAAACTGGGTTGTAATTTAAAGGGGCTATGTCACCCAATCTAATTGTTAATGATTTGAAACAGTCTTGGTCTTTATCTTCGGTCTAGCGTCTTTTGTAGCTCGTTTGTAAAATACAACTTCCATTTATTTTGTTGAATAAGACAATATTTTGTTGTTGAATTTTTGTTTGCGCTCTATTTTATGAATGGCATGCGTTTTTACTTCAAAACTACAAGTAAAATTGTCGTCGCAATTTTATTCTTGATCTAGCATAACCAGAGAAGAGACGTTCCATAAATTCTATCGAAATATCCCTTATCTAAACCCATTTCGCTAAACCTCTCTAAATTCGGAACCTTGGACGTGACAGATAACATGAAGAAAGTCACGCGTTAAAAACAATAGAATTTTGACAGTTGAAAGTAATTTGCATAACCTCACAGCGCACATGGAGAAAGTCACGCGTTAAAAACAATAGAATTTTGACAGTTGAAAGTAATTTGCATAACCTCAGAGCGCATGCTCTCCAGCTGACATAGCCCCTTTAATGTACCAAAAAACCAAAAAAGTAGGATTTGGTCTCCGTTAAAGCTCTTATTTCTTTTTCGTTCTCTTAACTCAAAAAATGATTTTTGTGTATGACGAAATTTTAGTGTTTTAAAGAAAATTGTGCAACAACATTGCTCAAACAACGCTTACCAACCTTACCTAACTCAACTAATATCTATAGCCAAAAGGTAAATTAACATTTCATTTCCAACCACAGGAACAGAGACTGATTTCTTTGCTGGATACCGTGCTTGTAAATGTTTGGAGGGTTTTTACAGAACAGATATGTTCGGTGTATGTCGAAAATGCGGACTTCAAGGTGGTCTGGCATGCCAAGATGACTATGCGTCTTTGAAATCTGGTTATTGGTGGGAATGGAGGAACAAAACACATATTTATCGCTACAAGGATTTCATAACAAACCTGTTGGCATCAGTACCGGCACTGGGCCCTGATGATGTCCAATATCCATACGCGATCCCAACACCCTATATGTGTCCCAGGAAAGAGTCGTGTAAAGGAGGTTTAGAGTCACAATGTGAGAAAGGCTACGAAGGACCCTTATGTGCAGTTTGTAGCTCTGGATATTTTAAACAACTGCAAACATGCAAACAGTGTCCAACAAAGAAGTGGATGATCGGGCAGCTGACGATCGTGGGATGCGTTTTGATGGTAATCGTTGCATTCCTGGCCTGGTCAAGTAAAAGGAAAGCTAAAACTTCTCAAGGTCGCACATTCTTAGATACATTCTTTTCCAAACTGAAGATTGTAATTGGCTTTTATCAAGTCACATACGGTATACTGGAAGCGTTTTCTTTCATAAAATGGCCAGATTCACTGGGGGTCATCGGTAGATATTCAGAAATACTTCAGATGAACGTTTTCCAGGTTGCACCAGTTCAGTGTCTTATCTCGGGTTTACAAGTGGACGCCTTTGCAAATCTGTTTGCAATGATGGCGATAAATGCTGCTGTAATTTCTCTCTCTATCGTGTTTTATGGAGCGCGAAAGATAACAATCTTACAGAATCGACGACTGGATTCGGAAGGAAAGTTGAGTGAAATTTCTCAGGCTAAAGAAATCGTTTATAGGAACTTGTTTTTTGTGCTGTATGTGACGTACCTCAGTACTTGTTTTAAAACAGCTACTGTTCTGCCGCTTGCTTGCCGAGAAATTTGTCGAGATACAGGAGAAAAGTTCTGTTCTGTATACCTTAAAGCGGATTACAATATCCGGTGCACAGGTCCAAAGTATAAAAGAATGGCCATCGCTGCGTATATTTCTACAGCCTACCTCTTTGCTCTGCCCACCGCCTCGTTCATCGCCCTTTGGAAGAGAAGAGGAATAATAGCAGCTGAAAGTGCAAATACACCACAGGATTCTGTCTCCAAGTCGGAAATGATCACTGGTTTACGATTTCTCTTTGAAAATTACAAAGCTCGTTCGTGGTATTGGGAACTGGTTGAAATGTGCCGAAAAGTTATTTTAACATCTGGTCTGATACTTGTTGGACAAGAAAGCAGGTCTTATATCGGCTTAGCATGGGTAATCGCTGGGATGTATGGAGTAGTATTTTCCTTCGTCAGTCCCATTCAAGACGTTGTTGAAAACAGACTGATGGTTACATCCATTGCAGTTACAGTTGTTAACTTAGGCATTGGAGCTGTGAGCAGGATTCCCGCAGAAAACGTTCCAGGATCAGACGACTCTTACAGTGATGCAATGTTATTTAAGATATTGGTGATTGGGGCAAATACATTGGTGATCGGTCTTCTTGCTGGTAAGACAAAAGAGGAGTATTAAGTTAGTTTGATACAGTTAAGTTCCCGTAGCACATCTTTTAAGTACAGGCAGCCAACAGGACAGTAACAAGTTTTGGCAGCAAGTTTGATAAGGCTTTTCCTTCTGTAGGGATAAATTTTTCATTCCTTTATAACAGAGATTTTTAGTAATTAATGAGCTGTAACTTCCCAAATCTGAGCCAGATATATAGTTGTCAGTAGAAGATGTTTTACGTATAACTTAATGGTTTAAGCCATATTGGCTATCGTGTGGTGTAACAGTTTTCAGGGATCTATCATGCCCTTTGTTGCCAAAATATAGATACTTTAAATAACCTGAGAAAGAACGGAGCACTCCTTCAAATGAAAAGTCAAAACAGGGTATAACGTGTTGTGATAAATGAACTTTGACCATTCATGTGTCACGCGCGCGTGTTGTTCAGTATTTAGGCATGCGCACTACAGGAATAGAAGGAGGGATAAAAATGGCAGTCTCATGAACACACGCTGTTGCTCTTGAATAACTCGACATAATGCTTATACCGTTGTAAATAAGACACATTATTATGTTAATATTTTTGTTGGGCCAAACGAAACACTATAAAAGATGAGTCGGTTTTGGCGGATAGAAAGTACTATTTTGGTACGCAAGTACAGAGAAATCATTTTTATGTGATACAAATTTTAGCTCTGCCTTTCCAAATTAAATCTTGTAGCCTCGATCAGCTAACTATTTTCTATGGGTTTATTTTCAGTTCAGTATGCAGTTCATTTTTATCAGTACGTTAAGGAGTGGCTGAAAAACCCACAATGTTCCGTTTCTTGCTGCATGGCACTATTGCTTCCTCTGAATGATATGCAAGGGGACATCACTGACCAGGTAGCTGAGTCGAATGACCTGGGTAAGCAGATGGACGTAGGACAAGTTGACATGTCTGCTGTTACCTCTTCTATAAGATCCCAAGGTGCTGGGGAAATCAGCAGAGCAGCCAAACTCGATGGCATCGGTACCAAGCCTGAGTGCAGCAGCAACAGATGTCATCGAGAAACACAGACAAAGCTTTCCGTTGTTTTGGTGGCTGGTACTTTCTGGCAAGTCGAAGAGAAATGGAGCGCGGTAAAAGAGAGAACGTAGTGAGTTTCTCTCAGACGTCATTAATAACTTTTTATTACTATCAACAATTTTTAAAGCTCCAATGTGGCTGTATGAGTGGCACAACTTTCACGAAGCGTATATTAAGGTTAATTACCGATATGACTGGCTGTTAAGTACAGTTCTTGGTGAAATAGAATGTGACTGAATTTTGAACCATATGAAAATACGACGAAGGTTCTAGTGTAATTCTGCACTGGCCGTGCTTGCCGGTAATGCAGACAATGTGTTTAAACTAAAGAAAATTTGAACCACAACATGAATAAATAGCTGGAAACAGTCTTTCAGGTAAAGGACTTCAAGGTCTACCATTCACCTCTTGAACTCTTCAAAACTAAAATTTAAACCTGCATGCGCGTTACCCGGATAAAGCTTTTTTGAGTGCCCCACCCACCCATCAGACAGCTGCTTGAGAGAAAGTCAATTATTGTGTCGTGTTTTCAAATGTTTATCGTTGCTTTTGCCTTTCATTTTCTTTGATTCTTTGTCCTTCTCTCCCATCGCGCCTAATTTGAAACACCAAGTGCTGAAACAAGTCGATAATAAATGCAAATTTTCTTTCAATCAAATGTATCCGTTGCGGTTCAATTTTATCCTTGGTTTAAGTTTTATTTTGTTTTGTTTCAAACTCATTATCATATCATTATCATACATTTCCATACCCGAAAACAAAAGGAAACAAAATTTCAACGAAGAATAAAATTGAAACACAACATATCTATTATTCGCCGGTGGAAATTGGTGAAACATCTTTTTGTTAGTTTGGAAACGATAGATGAAAAATGGATGTCCATCTGGAAAACGCAACATCATCCGTTACAACCTTCCGCATTAAAACTTCGACTGAAATGCCTACATCTTATAAGGGCCTGTTTGCGTGAGGCTCCGGGCAAGCCTGGTTCCTTTAGCCGATTCAACGTTTATCCCGGTATTACAGCATCTCGATACCAGCCGGAATTCATCTATTCGGGCTAGCTTGGAGAAGGAAGGGAAAAACATGAAGTCATATAGAGATCAGATAAAGGAAGGGCATGATCACAGGCTATGTTATCTAAGGACAAAGTTGCCTAATGGGATTGACCCCGACGCGACAAACTTCGATAAGTCATAACCTGACTGGCTACGATATGAAGTTCTCCACTTTACTTAACGAATTTGTTTGCTCAGTTCATGATTGCAAAAACGAAAATAAATTGTAAGCCGAAGTGGGATCGTGAGGGGGACCTGGGAAAAGGGACAAAACGCCTGCAATAATTATGAACCTTCTTGCTGTTTCTAATTAGCTTAGCCATGATGATGAACTTATTGATGGGTAATGTGATGGTGGCCTAATGAGGAAACCTTTTATAAGCCACGGCTGATATCAAGCAAATCGGAAAGTGAATTCACATTAAGCCTGATCTCTAGTAGTCACATTCCCAGATCCTTGTCTTTTCCATTCCCTGTATTTCCCCACCTACACCATAGATAAAACACATCTTAAATGTAAACCTCAGTAGCTTAGGAGTTGCTTTAGAGAGAGGGAGAATTTTATTCAAACCTGGGAAGATTTTGGCAGCACAGATGGACAAACATTTTCAATGGGTGATACTGTGTCAAAAACAGAGTTTCCTTTACCCGATATTGTTTCTTGAATGTTACAAAACATAATCAAGCAATAGAAAACACGACTTGCACCAACTTTCGATTTTTTAGAGATGCCTATTTCTCGATCCTTGATTGTGCCTTAGTTTGTTTCTGCTTTCGTGCATTTTTCACCCAAGTGATATTGCATCGTAAATGACCGCACGGTAATTATCCTTGAAGCATTCATATAAATTCAGTTTATAGAAAAAAATCTCCAAGGCGAAGATAGCCCAATTTGGAAACCTTAAATCAGTAGCCTTTGGCTAGCAACAATAACTGTTCTCACCATCTGTTTTTTTAACTCTTCGTTCAAAGCCGCTCCGATGAATTTCTTTGTAATGTCAGGAATTCATTTTAGTTCAAAAATATATTAAGTGGCTGGAAATCTCAATTGAAAGCTCAGTTGCTTTTAAAAAAAACAATAACGCAAAGATAATGTGTTAAATATTTCTAGCCAACAATTTTTAAACTGAAAACATAATTATGACATAACACAATGCAGAGAACTTTGGGATTGTCAAAATAGTGTTATGTTGGTGTAGATTTAGTTTTCAACAAATCGTGACAAATTCAATTCAAGAAGCTATATGTCCCATATCAAACACTTGCAAGTCTGTTTTACACGAGACCGTACCGTGATACCTCAAAGATGGTTTAAAAAAAGGGCACGCCTTCGTTTCTACCCAAGATACAGACTTCCTTCTCTCAGATGTATTATCATTGAAGACTAAAAGAAACATCAACTGATTCAGAGTCACAAGACTGAAAAACAAAAGATGACGACAAGACAGATAGATAATTACGGCATGGCATTGTTTTCTACCACCAAACATCAACAACTAAGACAACAGTAAACGACACTTACCGATCAGAATAGCAATAGCAATAGCAACTCATCAAGGCCATAACTGATGCATATTATTGAAGAGAAATGTGAACATAAACAACTGGATTTATCCAGTGAGGGGTTTTCCGAACTGTTTGTCTCTGAGAGTGTTTCAACGAATGAACTTTTTCCACTGCACCTGCTTTATAAGGTACGTATCCATTAAACCTTTTTCATAACAAAAAAAAGCAAAGAACAAAAGCGACTTGACTTTTCCTGATTTTTTGGAAGTCAAGGCGTCCTTCTTCAGCAGAATACAGTTGTTACAATGTTTGGGGTATGAAAACGGTACAGTTGAAAATTGGTCAGCTGCAATGCAAAGTTGTAACAAGTGCAATGTATATATGTTGAAGAGATGAGATCTTCTTGTAAAGCCCTCAATCAGTTCTCCTAGGCAAATGATTTGTTCCTTATCGTCAAGCTGTATCGTTTCTGGTATCACTTGTTAGAATCATCACTAAGATTTAGAGTTTGAAACCTTAACTGAGTCATATTAAATATCAAGCTACTGACTTAGGTGTGGCTCGAAAGATGTTTTTCTTTTCTTTCTTTTTTGGTTTCTGCATTGTTTGAAATTTGACTTGTGGCTGTAATTTTCGATATCTGACGATAAAAATGAACCAAAGGGTCAAAAAGGGCTTAAAAATGTGATGGCGCAGAATGAGTTTTTAAAAGATGTTTATAATAAACTTAAAAACCCTTTACCTATTACAATTAGGAAAACTTTATTTAGGAAAATTAATTTTGCAAGAAGCTTTAGTTAGACTTGGGCTGTTTTTGTTATCTTCAAGAAGTACAAAAAGTGTCAACCACCTTTGTTTTAGACCAAGCACTTTGTAATGCATACAAAACACTCCTGGATTCCACAGCTGCTTTTGGCTCTTTTGGTGTTAAACAAAACTAAATGGACCCACGCATCGATAGGTGAGTTGGTCATTCTTTGGTTACCACACTCGCAAAGTTATCTTTTGTCGCTCTGACATTCGTTGTGCTATCGTGATTAACGAGGGAAAAAACCTGGGTTCAAAGGAAAGTATCGTTAAGACTCCGATTGAGACCACCTCCTATAAGTGAACCATACCCATTCAAAGTACAAAAAAAAATCCCAGGCAAATCTCGTTTATTAGAGCCTCCTCGTAATCAATCATCTGTCAGTCGTAAGAAACCGCGACTTCTTTTTGGGTGGCGGTTAGATAATTTCCATTATTATTCATTCAAAATACTTCCCCGATTCTGATTGGCTAAAAGCACAAGCATAATTCAGCTTAACCAGCTACTGATGACCAAATTTGGAAGAATTTTGCGTTTCATGAACCGATGACGTCAAAAGTGCCTTAATTATGGCTGAATCCGCAAGCGGGCAATATGAAGCGAATCCTGCGATCTGATTGGTTATCCAATCGGACAAGATTGGCCATCTTGCTCGCTCGGGATTTCCCGCGTTTGTCCCGCAAGAAAAAGTTCCCTTTTTGTCCATACAGCAAATCCTTTGTTGACCAATCGTTAGGTCAAGATGGCTGGATATTGGCCTCAGTTTCTGGATCTATTTCGTCTCTGTCAATAAAAACGCAAAGAAGTTGGCCAATATCCAGCCATCTTGACCTCACGGTTGGTCAATAACGCATACGCATCGAGGTGATCACAAGAGGCCCGAGTGTGTGCTTGATAACGGGAAGCTGATGATTATACCGATAGACTAGAAGTTGCTTCTCTCTGTTTTTAGGTTGCGGTGCAGTTGTAAATAACACTGTTAAAAGTCCTGGCTATCCAGATTCTGTCTATCCATACGGAATTTACTGTCTTTATCTTGTTGCCATCCCACATGGCAAGGCCATGATGGTTTCATTTGAGGATTTTAATGTGGAGTATGAATCAACTTGCGAGTAAGTAGACGTAAAGTTGTATGTATGTGTTAATTCAGGACTAGTGTGAAAAGCTTGACAACAGTGCCTTAGAATTTTTGGCCGAGTACGGAAACTAGAGAAGTACCTTCTTAAGTCAGGAATGGTGTTCAAAAGGTGTGTGTTTATGGTTTACTAAGTTGTCCTGGTTTAATTTTATTTCAGCTACCCGCGTACATCAGGTTTTTCAATGTTGTTGCTTATTGTTATATATTTTCAAAGCTAAGAGTCGAACAAAATGAATCTATCAATTCTGCTATGTTTTAAAACAGCTTGTTTTATTTTGTGCTCATTCGCCACTGACGAGGGAATCAGTAACTAATCCGTTGGAAGGGGTGACATTTTCTAAGTGTGGACACTTTTTCCCCTTCACTCAGACATTCCGCGTACGTTTTCCAGAATAACGATTAACGATTAATTGGATGAGGAGTGCGGGATGAGGATTAAGACAGTTGTCGTTTAATTGTATTATTTCCGTTGTAGCTCTGACTCTTTGGAGATTATCAACAACAGAAATCAAAAGTTTGGCACATACTGTGGGGAACAAACGGGGCGAAAGGTTATTGTAA